ATGCAAGAAAAGAAACAATATCATTAAATAGTTTATCTTTCCTTGTTCTCTCATTTACAGAATAAGCTTGAACTGTTAGTAAAGTAGAGTTATGTGTAGATACATCATTGTGTACAGGAGAAGGAGAAGTAGAAACTACTAAATACCTGAGGAATGGCCCAAATAATGAGACTACTGATAAAACTGGTAAACTGAGTTCGTCCACAAGATCTAGTGAATTTCTGTCCTGCCCTACATAAGCTGAAGATACTTGAAAATGATTACCCTCTAATCGAGGCTCAACACAATCTCTGTAAAACTCTTCAATCGTAATTGCTTCATCATTCAATCGAATAATAGACCACGGCAACAATATCTTGCTATCAGAAAGAACGGATGTATTCACTAGTCTTATAAAGGCCATACCTGACCAGTAATCAGATACATGTACCTAGAAAAGTGGTATAATGTAAAATGCAAAATAATTTTAGTAACTAACCAAAAGTGCTAGAGCAACAAGACAAAAGATAAACACTTGCATATAGAGTCAGGATCAAGTAAAACTAAAAATGTACATAAATTGTTAGTAATGGTTTGTCAGACAAAAAAGAGAGAAAAGAGGATCATAAGAGGAGATGAATTAAATTTATTAATTAATACTGACTATGTGCTTTAATTCAGGTGAGAAAAAAATAGCAGCTAGGATCCAGAGAACTGTCTAATATACTGAGCAGTACCCACGAGAGACTAATAACAGGATCCACAAGAAAACAATAGTGAAAGGGCCCACAAGTGAACAACACTAAGCAGGACCTACGAGAGAATAACAGTGAGAAGGACCCACAATAAACAATATAGCGAGAAGGGCCCACGAGAGAATAAGAGAAGGGCCCACGAGAGAATAACAGTGAGAAGGGCCCACGAGAGAATAACAGTGAGAAGGGCCCACGAGTGAACAATATAGTCAGAAGGGCCCACGAGAGAATAATAAGAGAAGGGCCCACGAGAGAATAACAGTGAGAAGGGCCCACGAGAGAATAACAGTGAGAAGGGCCCACGAGTGAACAATATAGTGAGAAGGGCCCACGAGAGAATAACAGTGAGAAGGACCCACAAGTGAACAATATAGTGAGAAGGGTCCACGAGAGAATAATAGTGAGAAGGGCCCACGAGTGAACAATATAGTGAGAAGGGCCCACGAGTGAATAACAGTGAGAAGGACCCACGAGTGAACAATATAGTGAGAAGGCCGGGTCCACGAGAGAATAATACTGAGTGAGAAGGGCCCACGAGTGAACAATATAGTGAGAAGGGCCCACGAGTGAATAACAGTGAGAAGGACCCACGAGTGAACAATATAGT